CTCCCACGAATTCATCCCTGGCCTGTGAGCCCGTGTCCTGGTCTCAATACCTCAACACCTTGCTTTGGGCTCTCCAGAAAGCAGAGGTCTGTGGAATCCTGGTGCCACACAGGCTGCTTACAGTTCCTGACTCAGGTGGCAGGAGGGAAAGACAAGCAGGCAGAGCCCCTTCCAGGCAGAGGGCAGTTAGGAAGCACATGCTGCCCAGGATGCACCTGCCCTCAGAAGTCAGAGTCCCGCCCAGCATGCCTCCCACGGTGCTCCTGCCCCTGCTCACACTCCAATGATGGGAGCTTTCCCACACCCCCTTCCCTCTGGGAAACAGAAGGTCTGTGCACCGTCTGCTCCAGCCTTCTGCCTTCTGCCCAGAGCCCAGAGCCCAGAGCAGCAGACAAGGTCTGAGTGTCCAGCAAATAAAGAGGGTCCTAAGAGAGGGAGGCCAGGGCCTGCCCACGGTCAAGAGGGCCCTGGACCCTGACTGGTCTGTGAGCTTCTGAAACCACTTCCCTCCCCACAACGGCTCCATGGAGGTCTGCAGGGCAGGGCTGAGGTGGGGCTCCCAGCCTGGAAGAAGGGAGGTGGTAAGAGAGAGCAAGAATGAATACAAAAAGACAGAGATAGTGAACGTGTGTGTGTGTGTGTGTGTGTGTGTGTGTGTGTGTGTGTGTGTGAGAGAGAGAGAGAGAGAGAGAGAGAGAGAGAGAGAGAGAGAGAAAGAGAAAGAGAGAACACTAGACCAGGATACAGAAGCAGACACAGAGGAAGTCTCAATACACAAGACATAAACAGAGGCAGATAACACTGGATGAGGTGCATCCCCAAACAAAAGACATGAGAAGACAGACACCTCCATAAAGAGGGATGAACGGTCATGACAGGAGCCCCTGCCAAATGCCCCCAAACCTCCCCATGAGGGTCTACAGGGCTTGGCATCGCTTGTAAAGAACAGGCCACTCTGGGGTTTGGCCGCCCTTCCTGTGCCTTGTCAGGCAGAGGGCAGCCAGGGCCCGGAAGGCGGGAAATGCCACCTGCCAGGCACCCTCCGCCGCCTAACAAGAAGCTCCTGGTCCCGGGGCCCAAGCTGCCACTGCATCGGCGGCTTTCTGAGCTAGTGAAAGGGATTCGCACTCCGCTGACCTCGGTGTGTCCGGGGCCTTTCAAACTCTGGGGAGATGAGGGGAGGGGAGGTCGAGGGGACCTGAATGGGGGCCCTGGAGACAGGCAGAAGGAGGCCCCACCAGAGATCAAAGGCCCAGGAAGAAACAGAGGGTCTGGGGCTGCCCTTTCACCCATGGCTGCTCTGCCAAGTCCAGCCCCAGCACCTCCTCCTCTGGGCCTTCCGGGGAGGGAGGCACGGCCTCGGGCTCTGGCCCCTAGCCCAGCTGGACTCCTGAGGCCCACCCCACAGCCCTCTCCACGAAAGCCCTAGTTCAGCCCAACTAAGAGACTGAAGCTGTTCTTGCACGGAGCCATTCTCTGCCTCCCTGTAGCTGCCTTTAACCCTCTGCGGACATGTGACTGGTCCCCTGCACCAAGGAGCATCTACGATGTGTCACACACTGTACTCAAGCCATGTTGTCCAATACAGTAGCCACCACAGGTGGCTACTGAGCATTTAACATGTGGCTAGTGCAACTGGGAAACTAAATTTCTAGTTTTATTGTATTTTAATTAATTTAAATTTAACAACAGAAGCAGTGGAAAGTATTATTTTCTCTGTAAAGTGCCACTTCCTCTAAAGAGCGTTTCCAGATCCTTTTGGTCAAAATTGGCCCCTCCCCCACCTTGCTCTCCTGGCGTCATCTTCCCTCCCCCACGCCCCCCGACCCCATCACACATTACCTCACACACTGAAGGGGCTTTGGGTTTGCCAGTCTTTTGCACCAGCCTGCGAGCTCTGGAGCACAGGCCCTCTGTGACTGGACTCTATTACCATCCACCCATGCCCTGCGGCCTGGGCAGAAGAGTGGCACCAGGAAATGCCCACAGGGCAACACCCAAGTCCAAGTTGGAGATGCCTGCAAACCAGAGCTGAACAAGCGACTCCACCTTGCGGAGCCCCAGTCACCTCCTCTGAGAAATGGGGGTGGGACACTCGGTAGTCTTCCTCTTGCTCCCTAATGCTTCTTTTGCCCCAGGGCCCTTCCCCCAGGCTGCTGAGGTCTCCTGAGAAAAATGGTGCCATGGTCTGCTGTCCCAGCCCTCCAATGCACCTGGCAATTCCCCCGTGCTTCCCCGTGGCTGGTTCTTACTTTCTCACCACACTCTGGCCATGCGCTTCTGCTGGAAACTCCTCCTCACACCCTCCCCAGGCTGCTCCACCCCCAAACCGCCTCTCTGCAGCGGGAGGGGGTAGCAGGTGGCCAGACAATACCTGGGGCTGAGGCCTCAGGGGCTCTCCAGCTCCTCCTGACCCCCTAGGCCCTAGGGCATGCCAGCCTGTGTGGCTTTGCCAACTTCAAGGAACTCCCTGGGCCTCAGGTTCCTCCTCTATAAAATGTGGCTGAAAATCTCTGCTGCTTCAACTCTCCGAAATCAATGCAAGGATCCAGGAGATGCAGAGCGAGTTGGAGAAAGAGCAGTGGGGAGCACTAGGCAATGCTCCTTCCAGACAGCTTGCTGATGTGAGCCAGGGCACTTCTGCCCCACCTCGCTGCTCAGCCATAACACTTTCCCTGATGCAGGGCAGGGGTAGGGGGCCTGTTTGCTGCTTGGCCTTCCTATAAGCTTCCAAGACCATCATATCATTCTCCCTCAGCCCCCAGAGCACTGACTGAATCACCTCCCAAGTCTTCCTGGGCATCAGGGCTCAATCATAAATTTCAAAACTGGGAGGAGCTCAAAGATCATCCAATCCTGCACCTGATTCCTCCTACTATTGTACGGCAGCCCAGTGAGTGGCCACCTCGGCTCTACTTACATAGTTCTAGTGACAAGAAACTCACTACCTCCTAAGGCAGCCCCTTCTTGCCCTAGACCAGCGGTTCTCAACCTGTGGGTCGCGACCCCTTTGGTGGTCGAACGACCCTTTCCCAGGGGTCGCCTAAGACCATCCTGCATGTCAGATATTTACATTACAATTCATAGCAGTAGCAACATTACAGTTATGAAGTAGCAACGAAAATAATTTTATGGTTGGGTCACAACATGAGGAACTGTATTTAAAGGGCCAGAAGGTTGAGAACCACTGCCCTAGACCATTCTCATATTCACAACGTTCTTTTTTATACTGAGCTGAAATCTCTGCATCTGCCACATGCTAGCCTTTGAGGCCACACAGCAACGTCTCATTGCTCTTGCCTTCCATGTCAGCCCTCCAAATGTTGAAGGAAACAGTCCAATTCAGCTCATTCTTCTCTTCTCTGTGCCAAAACATCCCTAGAGCTTTGAGAAGTTCTCCGGATCCCCCTCCATCCAGGTTCCACCCCTCTGGACACCCTAATTTGTCTATATCCCCATTAATGGCCAATACCCCAGATGGTCACAGTCCTTAAGAATGATGCGACCAGCACAGAGCAGCCTACACTAACAGCACCCAAAGGCCGGCCATCCTACACCCTTTAAAGCAGTTTTCAAGGCTAAGCAGTGACCTCTGATCGGAGACTAGAATCCATTACAACTCTCCACACACACAATAAGACAATCCCCCCAAATCAGGACCTGTCTGTTTGACGGTAAACATCAAACTAGATTTGTTTCTTCCTCCAAAAATCTCTGCCTGGCTCCCTCAGCCTCTGAGGGAGCTGCACCCAGCTCGCCCATCCACCGCGATCAAACACAGCCCGGCCCCAGTTTGGGCACATCTTATCCGAGTCCAGGTGACAATAGGAGAAAAGATGACACCTTCAACCCCCTAAACCAACAGAGATGGTAGGCCCAGTGCCTCCTGCATAACACAGCACAGCCACCCACTGAGTTAAAGACATCCACCCACTGAGTTGAAGACATTGGCTCTGAGTGCCAGGAGCAGGAAAGAGGGGAGGCAGGTTCCCAAAGCCGTGAACCATCCCCAGGCACCCCCGCAACTCCAAACAGCAGCCACAGACTCAGCTCCTGTGATGCCTGGAACACGCAGACCACAGGCCAATCCACTGCCAGGCCAACTCAATTTTCTAGTTACAGATCTTAAGTACTTAGGCATGTGCTCGCCAGAACATACATCCCTTACAGGGAGCTGCGAACGGGAATTGTGCCGAGGAACAGAATAATTGAATCAAGATTTCTGTCGCGCTGCTCCGAGGGACCTAGACCAAGGCCCGCTTTTGTTTTCTTTTCCTTTCCTGACGAAGGTTTTACAGACTCCCAGAGGGTCGCTCTTCCTCTCAAACCCGTTATGTCAGCGGCGCTGGCAGCCCATCCAGGGAAAAGGGGAGCCGGGGTAAGCTGGGCCAGTGTACAGGACGGGGCAGCTCTAGAAGCCCAGCTGGTAGCACTGAGGGGCTGAGACAAACCAGTGGGAAGATTGTCTCTTTGTATCCCCAGGAGGCCCCTGCACTCCTTCCTCCCAGGCCCTGGGCAGAGATGAGATGATTATTAACTTCCTCAGTCCCCACCATCACCACCCTGGAGAGAGGTGTGCACAGCCTACCCCTATGGGTGCCCCTCTCACTGCAGGACACCCAGCCCCTCCCTCTCCTCCAGGCTCCCTCACAAAGGGGACACCCGCCGTGTCGCCCTCGTACCCTCCACACCCTGCTTCATATGTGGACATGCAAGGTCTTCCCAGAGGCTCAAAGCTCAGCTCACAGGGCTCTGCCAAACACACCTTCCTCCACTCCAGGGGTAAAGATGGGGGGAGGCCAGCGAGAAATCCACAGCCCCAGGCAGCCCCGCCTGCCCCTCCCCAGGTCTCCATGTCCAAGGAAGGGCCTGGGCCTGGGTGGGGGGACTCGGGTGCTCTGCAGGTAAGGGGGTGCATCTGTGCTTCCACCTCGGACTGAGTGCCCTGGAGCAGATCCCGCCGGGCCCATCCCAGACAGGGCTGTGCCCGCATCTCTTACCTTCATCTCTCTTACGCTTGTTGGTGTCGGCGCTGGGGGACGTGATGCCCAGGATGCCGCTGATGGAGTACGAAGAGCCCGCGGAGTCCGTGCTCACCGAGGACACCTGCGTCACGGAGCCCGTGGACACTGTGCAGAGGGAGAGGGCGGTCAGGGCCCGGCTGAAGAGGGAACAGAGGCAGAGGGCGCAAACAAGGGCACTCAACCTACAGGGGGCTGGATGTGACTGCCCTGCAAGCACGAGGAAGTGCAGGGACAGGGAAGAGGGCGTGTGCCTGAGCAGTGGCCACACCTGGGTGAGGAGGGCGCCCCTCGGGCCATCAGCCCAGGTTCTCTGCTGCTGGGAAGGATGACAGGGGAGGAGGGCAGTGAAGAGGACTGACAGTGTAGAGAGGAACAAGGGGCAGCGTAAGAAGGGCACTCGCTCAAATGCCAGCCTGTCCAAGGATACAGGAAGCCGGGAGATGGAGAAGAGAAAGAGGGGAGCGGGGCCTACCACCAGCCAGTGGGCAAAAGACCTAGACTCACTCATTAGGCAGGTTCGCTCCCTGTTTACATACCCACCCATCCATGCGGACCAAATTCCTGCTCCCTCACACACATAGCCAACAAAATCCCAAATGGCAGGCTATCCCTTCTTTTTACAGTTCCTCACTGTCTTTTCTCCTTCCATAGATTTTAATATGAACCACATAATACTGATATAGTAATATATGTAACATATAGTTATACTGATATATATAAAATAACAATAACTAACATTTTCTGATAACTTACTCTTATGCCAGGCATTGTCTCATTTAATCCTGCAAACAGTCTTATAATCGAGCTCATGTTATTATCCCACTGAAAAGGTAAAGGAATGAACGAAGGCTCAGAGAAAGTAAGTGACTTGCCCAAGGTCCCAGAGCTAATAAGAGGCAGAGTGGTGACTGGAACCCAGAAACTAGTCATAACCCCTATAGCAGTGGTTCTCAACCTTCCTAATGCTTCGACCCTTTAATACAGTTCCTCATGTTGTGGTGACCCCCAATTTCATTGTTACAAATTGAACATAATTAAAGCATAGTGATTAATCACAAAAACAATATGTAATTATATATGTGTTTTCCGATGGTCTTAGGCGACCCCTGTGAAAGGGTCGTTTGACCCCCAAAGGGGTCGCGACCCACAGGTTGAGAACCGCTGCCCTATAGTAATCTGTTCTTCACTAATTAGTAATGAAAACCAGTAAGAGGCTTCACACAATGCAGTGCTTCTCATTTGATGCCTGCTATTATTTATCCCCATTTATCACATGAAGAAACTGAGGCTTCACAAAGGTGAAGTGACTGGCTCCCAGCCAGCCAGTGAGCAGTAGCGCCAGGGCTTAGCCGTGGGTCTACTGCCGGGAAGTCTACACTTCCCCTGCCCAGAAATGTAGGCAGAAGCCCGTGACTTGTGACTGAAACCAGATCTCTGAGTTCTTAAGGATAAGAATGGGGGAGGGGAGGTTTTTGTGCAAGGTTCACATTAACTCCGGGCCTCAGAGTCCGAGGGAGAGGCCGGCCAGTCAGTGGTCAGGGTCTCCCCCCCCCCCGCCACCCCCCCCACCAAGCTGTACAGCTGAATTTCCACTTCTGGGCCGTGGGAATTCTTTCTTGGTTCATTAAAACCTACAAACCAATCTCAGACACATTTCCTTGGGCTATAACTAGCTGGAGGCAGGTAGAGCCGCCTTTGACTGGGCCGCGTAGGAAATGACTAGAAATGGCAGTGATTGCGTGAGAAGCTGTTTGTTGCTTTCCTTGGAGCAGGGCCAGCCCTTGCTCCTACAGACCTAGAGGGAACGGTGCCTTTCTTCTCGCTTGAGTTTGATTTTAGCTCTTCCTTAGGAGACACAGAAGTAGAAATCGTTAACTTCTCTTTTCTTTCAACAGAAGAAGCTACTCAAAATAGATTTATGCAAATCTCACAACCTTTTCTGTATTAAGGTGCAAAGAACAGAGGAAGAAGGAAGATCACAAGTCATCAGTACTTTAAACAACAACAACCCACAGATAACCAAGGGCTCACCAGGTTGCTAACAGAGGCAATGAGATTAGTTCTGATGTTTTGTGATTTACACTAAACTCAAAAGGCCTAAGTTCCAATTCTTGCTCCACCACTTACCGGCATTGGGACCTTTGGCTAGTTATTTATTTAATCTCTCTAAGCCTCCCTTTCCTCACCCCTCATTAAGCTTGTAAACTCTAAGGGGCTGCACACATATAAAATAATGGTTTTTCTTAAAAATTTCAGACACAAAACAAAGCATTCTGCTACCTACAAGTAGAAGTATTCCTCTAACACAACTGAAAGAGTCTTACCAGTTACTCTCAGTGTGATAGTCATTGCTAAGTGACCTGAAATAATTAAACAGCTGCCCAAGGGAAATCTCAGCCACACACGTTTCCCCGCGAGCCTTCTTCAACCCTCTAGGCCCCAGCTCAACGGCACCCTGAACTTTCTTCTTCAGCTTCATCTCAGTGTTCTGCAAACTCCTCTTTGTTACATTGCCCCACTAGGCTGAGGAGCCCTTGTGAATGGGAAGTTTGTCCTGCCTCCGAATTAAAACACGAGCCTCCAACGCCAAGTTCTGCACAGCAGAGGCTTAGCAAACACTTTTTGAATTGATTATTAAATGAAGAATGATTTCATAGCAGGGAAGAGTTCTGTCTTAGCATTACCCAAAGAGGCAACCGTGAAGGATCAGAGACCTCAGGGAGCACCTGGGTTGTGCCCCTACGTTCACAGATGGGGAAACTGAGGCTCCGAACGGTGAAGGGACTTTACACAGTTTACTAGGGGAGTCCACGACAGAGCTGAAACTATAAGCCAGGTCTCTGCCTGCCCCCCATCACCACAGGGAGTTCAAGTTTTCCATTGAAGGAACGAAAAGGTGTGGAAACGGTACCGAATCTGAGGCATGATTACGTGGAGTTGACGAGGACTGTGGCAACCAGAACTGTCAGAATGGTTGCCTACTTTCTTACAGTAGAATAACCTTCCCCCAGCTGACCAGGAGGTCTCCTTTATCCCAAGAGGAGAAAGAATATGCCTTAAGCAGACGCATGCCATTTCTTCTCACAGTCGTTGCGGAGAAGGGAAGGGCAAGGGGAACTTCTGAGCTCTTGAGTGTAGCTGACCCTTGAGCAGCACAGGTTTGAAGTGTGCAGGTCCCCTGAAACGTGGACTTTTTTTTTTTTTTCATTAAATATACAGACGGGCCTCTGCATCCCTTAGTTTCCCATCCGCAGATTCTACCAACTAACCTCAGATCGAAAATACTGCTTTTGATCCGCAGTTGGGAGTTTGCGGGTGCAGAGGGCCTCCTCTATGCATTGTTCTGTGTCATTGTGTATAAGGGGCATGAGTATCATAGACTTTGGTATCCATGGAGGGTCCTGGAATCAACCCGCTGCAGATCCAGAGGGACAGCGAAGTTTGCCGGGAGGCGGGGCAGGGGGCAGGGGGCGGGGGCGGGGGGGGGGGCAGTCCAAAGTTACACTCAGATGTTTGACTGTGTGAGGGGGGGAGAAGGGGTGCCTCCTCTAACCCTCACGTTGTTCAAAGGTCAACTGGTAGGAAAGATGACTCCCCTTCTTACAAGTCATGACTCCCTCTCCGACTTCACCCGTGAGTGTCAGAAACTCCACCGGCAGCCTCTGGCAGCTCAGAGTGCATGAGATCGAAGCAAGGGGGAGAGAGAGAAAGTTTGAGAAGTTTTGCCACATCTTCACTCAAGACTGCAAGTGCACAAAGAATTGTAGAAGGGCTGGGTGATAGAGGGAAAAAACACATTCAAAACTACTTACTGACTAATGATGCAGAAAATGTTATGAATAAGTACCCCTTTCTTGATTTATTACTTTAATTATCTGACATTCTATAGACCCCCATTAGTGGATTTTTTTTTTTGGCTTAGATTTCAATTTTCTGTCTCATGCTGAAAGCTATTTATCATAATAATCAGTAAAATTCAAAACCTTTTAGCAGTATTTATAAAATTCATTTACCGGGTTCAGCCCTTGGAGAATGACAAAGAAAGCGCATTAGTACGTGTGCCGAAGTGTTTTATGCAGAATTATCTGTCCATAAGAATGATTAAAAGTTCTTTAGAATATTTGGAGCCCATTCGATTTTTAAAATTTTTATTTTGAAGCTCTTACCAATGCTGTGACTGGAAGCTGGGACCGGCTGGTTGGGTGGCTGCTGTACTTTTGTCCGGATGATCCTGTGGGCAGTGGGAAAAAATGAATGGCTGTTTACCAGCTTAGAAAAAGAGATCTCAACTAGCTATGAATCGACAACCAGAAAACCCACATAAAGCTGGGGCACAGGTCAAGCTGGGGCAGAGGGGAGGGGAGATTATGAAGCCAGGTCAGGAGTTCGGGGCTTGGAAAAATGATGGACGAGTCCCAACTCAGCCCCTACTTCCCTGGGTGTCTTTGAGTAACTTGCACCCTTCTCTGGGCCTCCAGTGCCTCTTGTAAAGAAAAGGATGACGTGTTCCTATTAGGAAGACATCCCTTTCTCAGAAGCAGCTCTGGCTCCATAAAGTCACTGCGTGACATTAGGGAGTTTCTTCCCTTCACTGGACCTCAGTCCCCCCACCCCCACCCCCGTTTCTATGGAATGAAGGGACTGGCCAAGGGACCTCTCTGTTCCCTGAAAGCCCTCAAGCTCTTGATTCTCCGCCTTGGATGGCCACGGGAGGAGTGACATCCCCAGCCATCACAAGGGGATGCATGAATTGCTCTGAAACTAGAAAGGGTTAAAGTGCTGCCAAGAGAGGCTTAGCTTGGCTTTGCTGAGAAACGTCTACAAAAACTTCATGGAAAAGCTTCATGGGGCTGGTCTGGCTTGCCTTTCCAGGGACCTTGCCTTAGTTCTAATAGGAACCTGATGGTGACCCTGGGCAAATCCATTCCATTGCGGGCCTCAATATGGTGACAGAGTTAGAATAGGGCACTCTTGGCTTATTTGAAGTAACTGAATCTCTCTCTCTCTCTCTCTCTCTCTCTCTCTCTCTCTCTCTCTCTCCTCTGCCTGTCTCTCTCTTATGGAAATGCCAAGTGTATAAAAGGGATAATAGCAGTGCCACCTGGCAGCTCTGAGGTCCTTCTGCAGAACCTTCTCCATGAGACCCTACACCCCGTATGTCAACCAGGGCCAAGCCAAAAGTCCCTTTGAGGTCTGCAAGAAAGTTCCTTCTCTGGCATTTGGGAGAGGGTGGGCGATAACAGTAAGTTCAGCTTCTTTGGGAAAGTTCTGTTCCAACGTCCAATTATTCTCTTTTAAAAGAGCATGTATTAGAGTTTTCCCTGGTCGTAAAAGGACTTTGTGCTCATTGTAGACTACTTGGCCGACAGCTTTGAAGGAGGCATCTAAAACCACTTTTGGAAAAGAACAAAGAGCACCATCTCCACTGAGTGCACCCCCACTCTTGTGCAGTTGACTCTTGAACAACACGGGTTTGAACTGCATGTGTCCACTTACACATAATTTCTTTCAATAATATAGTCGACCCTCAGTATCCCCAGGTTTCACATGCACAGGTTCAACCAACTTTGAATCAAAAACAGTACTTCCTTTTTTTATATATAATATTGGTTTTTTTTCTTTTAATCTTTTTTTTATTATTATTAATTTCAGAGAGGAAGGGAGAATGAGAGATAGAAACATCAATGATGAGAGAGAATCATTGGGCAGCTGCCTCCTGCAGCCCCCTTACTGGGGATCGAGCCCTCAACTCGGGCCTGTGCCCTTGACTGGAATCAAACCTGGGACCCTTAGTCCACAGGCTGACACTCTATCCACTGAGCCAAATCAACTAAGGCAGTACTTCCTTTTTAATTTTTTTTTTATTGTTGACAGTATTATAGATGCCCGCCATTTTTCTCCCTTCCCCCCAAAACAGTATTTTTAATCTGTGGTTGAGAATCCACAGATATAAAGTGTGAACCATGTGCATTGTTCTACGCCGTTTTATATAAGGGACTTGAGCTTTCAGGATGTTGGTATCCATGGAGGTCTTGGAACCAATCTCCAGTGGATACCGAGGGACAACTATAGTTAAGTTTTTAGGGAGTCAAAAGTTATATGTGGATTTTCGACTGTTCAGGGGTCATCGCCCATAGTTCCCGCATTGTTAAGGGTCAAGTATATTTCCTTTATACTAGTATTTCTATACTTATTTGGAAATATCCTTTTTTTTTTCTTATCAGAATCTGGATTAAATTATGTATACAGTTTTGTCTCCTCAACATTATAGGAAATCCTTTTTCACGTTGTAGACCATTAGTTCTAGAAGTTCGTTTCAAGCTGCACTGGGTCTCCAGCTTGTGCAAATGGAGAGAAAGGACAGAGGGGCAGGTGCCTCCACTTAACCTCGTCGGGCTGTCGCCCTCTGTGATGGCACAGCTCAGCGCTGGGAACCAAGGGCACTCAGCATCCTCGGATAGTAGCCTGGATGGAACGTTTCTGTTCATACCACAGCCCAGCCACAGGCCCTCTGAAGCCCAAGCCACCTCTATCGCCTTTTGCTTTGTTTTTGACAAGTCAGCATGCGTATTGCCTCAAATACAGAGTGTTTGTTTTGTTTTCGCTCACATTTAAATCACTTATTTTCGCTAAGCAAACATGGAGCATATTGACAAAGACCTGGGAGTGAGGTGGTCTTTTTGATCCCCCAGAATCAAACTAGCATCTGATCTAATCTTTGTATTTTTGTCTGTCACCTTTTCTGTGTGTGTGTGTGTGGGGGGGGGTGGGTGTGTGTGTGTGTGTGTGTGTGTGTATCTAAACAGATACAGCTATGTGAACATATAAATATACCAGACGTAAATATAGTTTTTCTATATACAAATATATGGTGAAATATACTGTAACTATTTCCCATTGAAGTCCGAACTCTTCAAAGCAATGTTTGGCCATTGAATTCGTACAGAGGCAAAGCAAAGAAAATTATAGTTTTCTTATTTTTCTTTTAAAATATGTATAAATCATTGGTAAAACATTATCAATTGCGATAAATCATTGCGAGGCAGCTGCATCATAGTGATTAAATACACAGGTTCCAGAACCACACTGGAGTTTGAATCCCAGTCTTGCCATTTGCCAGCTACATGACTTTGGGAACATTTCTTAACCTCTCTATATCTCAGTTTCTTCATCTATAAAATGGGACCAACCAAGATTCATTCCTATTTCATAAGATTATTATGAGGATTAAGTTAATAATTAAGTACTTAGAGCAGGGGCTCCTGCATAGTAAGTGTTCAATAAATGGTGTTATTATCAATGGTATCTTCATAAAGATTAATGACCAGCTCCAACCTTAAAAGGTTCATTATTTTCCACAAATACCTTAAAAAACTCATGGGATCCCCCCTTGGGAGCTGGGAGGAGAAGGTGGCCATCCCCACACCCAATTTTAAGGCTGCAATAGGGCTGTCTTCTATGGGTGAGACCCAAATTGTAGGGAACCCTCCAAGGCTGTCCCCAGGGATAGAAATTTTGCCCATTTGCTTGCAGCAGCTGCCAAGGAAAGAACAAAGAGCATCATCTCCACTGAGAAGAAGTAACAATGGGAAGAACAAGACTAATTGAATCATAGCAATTCTAAAAAATACAGCAAGCAACCTCAAGACTTATCACAGTAAGAGCCACACTCAGGACTTTTCTAAATAAGAGACAGTGAGGGCTACTTGGCAGCTCACACTGGAAGGCACAGCCTTTACTTGCTGAGCATGAGCCTGGTCCTGAGTGCCATATGAACATCCTGGATGGCCCAACAGAGAAGGGAGCTCAGCAATCAGCTGGCTTCTCTGAGTGAGGAAACTGAATTCCAGAGTGCTCAAGTGACTCGCCCAGAATCACACAGCCAGTCAGCTCCCATGCCTGCACACTTTTTGTGTTTTTTTTTTTTTTTAGTTACATTCAAAGGAAGTGCTTCTTCTGCAAAATACTTGCTGTATGAGGCATAAAACCTATCTGGAGTCAAAATCCATTTAGAATCTGAGGATTAAAAGCCCAAGGAACTTTAGATATTACAGGCATTTGTAAGGATACCATTTCAACATCAACCCCACTCTTCTGAAAGGCTAGGTCTTCCCATCACCACCCGCATACACAATGACATTGGAAGAGAAAGTCATGACGCCTTTAAAAATGAAATGAGGAGATATGGCTAAAGAGATACCCACGTCTACAGCACTGATCAAGGGTTCATTGGGCCAAGTTGGGAGAGGGCCCACAGGTGACACTCAAGCCTGTGACTGATGCGGAGGAGAAAGAGGGAGTGGGTACCCCTGGCCCGGTGGCTCAGTTGGTTGGAGCGTCATCCTGTACACCAAAAGGTTGCGGGTTTAATTCCCAGTCGGGGTGCATACATAGGCAACCTATCAATGTTTCTCTCTCTCTCTCTTCCCCCCTTCCTCACTCTCTAAAAATCAATAAAAACATATTCTCAGGTGAGGATTAAAAAAAAAAATAGAAAAAGTGGGTAAATAGTCTCAAAGGCTTGATTCCCAAGTTAGGATTAAGAGCAGACTTTACAAACTGTCATCTTCAGGCCACATCCATCACTGGACAATTTGTGTTTGGCTTACACAGTATATTTATTTGTATTTGAATTAGTAGTAAGTAAGGAGCTCTTACATAAATAAATGGATTTCTAGCTTCTCTTGGGAAAAAAAATAGAACACCTGGCAATTCTGACCCCACAAGGCAACGACCAGTGGGTGCTCACGGAGCTGCCCCTCTACACTGGGAATGCCACTCCGGGTTCCTCACCACTTGGCCCTGATCTAGAGCCACGGGACTGATATAGAAGAAGGAAGCCTCCGTTTCTCCCAACGTTTGGGCCAGCTCTGGGACAGTCACCTCCACCTGACACTGAGGCTGGAGTCCAAGACTCCATCGTGCAGACTATGCAGCTGCCCAGCATGTATTGTCCTGAAGAAGCCACTTCGACATGATGGTGTGTGTCCCAGGAAATCTCCCACAAGCCTAGCAGAACTAGTGCAGTGCTGTTTAACCCCATGCCAGTCACCGTTTCCCAGGCTGGTCCCCCAGAAGGCAGAGGGAAAGCACACCCTTCTAGGGGGGGACGGTGAAGATGACCCTGTGGCCACCAGAACAGCTATAAATCCAGCCACCACTCCCTCCCTGACCGAGGTATGGGAATAGGGAGAAGTTGCCTCCAAGAGAGGCAGGGGCTGGGAGAGGACACTGTGCACCTTTCGCACAATGACATTTGCAGGACGGTTATTTAGAAGCTGCATCCATTGGAATGCAGTGGGAGCTTTGCTTTCCTATAGGAAACTATGCTGGGCTGGCTCGGGCTTTCCTGGGGGAGGGGGAACGGCAGGCAGCGACATGAGGCTGCTCCACACTTAGTTGGTTTGCATTGCAGGGTCAGTTGTTAAAGATACCAAAGAGCTCTCACTGAAGAATGTGGTGAGGAGCCCCCCATGGAGGAGCACAGGAGAAGGCCATGGACCACAGAGGAAGCCTGCAGACAGGCGGCAAAACACGCAGGCTGCCAGGCTCAGAAACGCAGAGGGAACGACTGTTCTACTCCTTGCCTCTCTTCTCGGGGATCTTCAGTTCTGTCACTGGCAGAGTCCTACAGGGCAGCGGGGGAAAGAGACTAACCCGCCTCTTACCTTCAGGGGACCCAGGCCCTACTCCCTTCTCTATCTCAAAAATCATTGTTCCTCTGCACTCCCCATCTGGTCCCAGGTTTCTGTACCTGTCACAGGATAGAGTTAGGTTTAGGGGCCTGTAGGAGACCACAGATGTGAAAGCACCTTAGAAGCACAGCCAGCCAGGTCATCGGATTAGGATACCCAGAAGGCCCCTGAGGCTAGCCATGGCCCCAGCACCAGCAGTCAGAGCCCCACTCCCAACTCCTGCACAGCACAGCTCTAGGCCCAAAGCACCGGCTGACCCACAATTCCCCTCAACACTCATTCAAGTACCCCTATTAGCTTCCTCCACATCTGTGATCACGGTTCTCTATTTCGTACGTTTCTTTCAAACAACTCACTCTTTTACTTTAATAGGGCAACCTTCGTTCTTTACTGTAAATGGGGTGGGGAGCGTTCATGAAGTTCACACTGACTGGTTTGCAGCACTGGTTACCTATTTCTAAAAGACATTCAAACAAATTCATCACAAAACCGTTTTCATCCTTGTGTTCCAGAGGATAGAAGCTGGAGCCCTAAATAAGTCATGCTTGTCCTGCAAGGCATTTTTTTTTTTCATGGAAATTAGTTACCACCATTTAAAAATAGGGATTTCGTATATACAAGTATACATACACACACGCACACACGAAGTCCTAGTTTCCAGCTTCTCTCTAAGAATGGAAAAAGTCTGGCAAACTCTGGGCTCACATTCTGCTGAGAAGCAATTGCCCCTTCTACAGGGCTTGTTCTGTCTAGTTTGCCACAGACCCAACCTTTCCCTATCATCTTATGCCTGCCCTGCTTCATTTCTTACTTTATCTGTCTGGCCCACTTAGGTGTTAGAGTTTGGGACCCTCACAAGCAACCTAAAGTTATTTTTTGATCTGCCAATTCCACGTATACCCTACACTGGGAAATCTGTGGGCCCCCAAACCCTGACCACGGGTTTGGTGGAGGCTCCTCTGCAGAGCAAGCTGACTGCTCCTTCATTGCTCTAGGCAGCATGTGCCCCACTCTACGTTAGGGCTTTTGGAGACCTGAACAAAATATCATGTTGCTTGTGTCATGGAAATCCTGCAACAAGCCAAAAATAGGGGATTCACAAGGCACATTGGAGCCCCTCATAATCCAGAAAAAAAACAGGAGTTATTCCTCCAGAGCCCACCACAATAGTTGTCATAATTCGGGCTGTCTAGACTTCTATGTGCATGCCAGAATCCCAGCCTGGACGAGGAGCCCCTCTGGGACAGAGACTAAGAGACTAATTCCCCCTCTCTCTTCTCAGCACCTTGGACGAGGTCAGGCCCAAGGTAAAGGTTTACTGAGAAAAGAAAAACAGGCTAATGGTTTATGAAATAACAGGACTCAAAACATTAGAACATATTCACACAGTGATTCTGAGTCACTGTGGAAGGAATGACTGTCGGGACCTGAGGGAATCTCAGAGACATTCTAGTATGACCACTCTTTCTGGTGGGTGTGAGGAGTTCCTTAGCCCAGGTCCTTAGGCTCTGCACTGACAAGAGTACGGTATGACCTTGAAGAAATGGGAACTGCTCAAGTTTTCAGTCTGCTGGTTTCTCTTTTCTTTGCGGAGTTTATAGAAGAGTCATTTCTGTTCATCTCGCAACTTCATCCCTGACTCTGTGGGTTTAAGTGGAGTTGAGACTGCACCATCCACAGTGGAAAACCTGCTTTCAGGAATTTATTTTTAAAGCTCTGAGAGCTCTGTTAGCTGTACCCTGGATTAGACTGGAGAGGAGAAGGAGCCCTGGTGGCTCCTAGGAAGATCCTGAGCCTGGCACTCACGGTATTTCTCTGGCTCTTTGTGTCCATAGGTAAGATCTGGGGCAGCCGGGGAGAGGGGAACTCCCTAACTCCACAGCATCTTAGCATCCCGAACATTCCTCTTGGAGATCACAGACCCACATTGAACCACCAATGCCCTGGGCTCAGCGACAGAAGAGGCTCTCTGACAAGGTCACACTTTGTGTTTGCGGCAGACCTGAGACAAGGAGCTAAATCTCCCAACCCCAAATGAGGGCTCTGTTCCCCACACTCAATGGCTCAACCTCTGCCCAAGCTGAAGGCAGGGCTTTTCTTCCTGGGACGGTCTGAATGGGCCAGTGCTAAGACCTGGAGCCTGGGCTTGTGAAGAAGTGACATTTGAAGGCCTAACCAGGACAATTCACTGTTAAGTGCTCCACACACAGAGTGGGGTATAGCGAGTGATGCAAATCACTCTAGAGCAGCGGTTCTCAACCTGTGGGTCGCGACCCCTTTGGGGATCGAATGACCCTTTCACAGGGGTCACCTAAGACCATCGGAAAACACATATATAATTACATATTGTTTTTGTGATTAAACACTATGCTTTAATTATGTTCAATTTGTAACAATGAAAATACATCCTGCATATCAGATATTTACATGACGATTCATAACAGTAGCAACATTACAGTTATGAAGTAGCAACGAAAATAATTTTATGGTTGGGGGTCACCACAACATGAAGAACTGTATTAAAGGGTCGCAGCATTAGGAAGGTTGAGAACCACTGCTCTAGAGTCAGAAGACTCTCAAGCAGCCACGGTGTTGGCACGGCCACCTCTCCCTGGGGCTAGAACTCCTGCCCACTTGGGAGAGAAGAGAGGGCAATAGAGAGACCCACCTGGCCCCACAAGCAGTCCTCCTGTCCAATGTCCCCTAAGGAGCCTTGGTGAGCGGGGAGACCAGATCTCCTGAAAAGGCACCCACAGAGCCTCCAGGATCCCCCACTCCACCCAGATCCCTAGCCCCACAGGCAGCAGCCTCTCACCTGTTGATGGAACTGACGCTGGGCACCGTGTCATTGTCACACACTCGTTCCGCCAGCAGCCGGTCCCTGATCTCCCAGGCAAACATGGTGGGATTTTGGCGTTTATACTCGGCAATTTTTTCCACCACTTTGGGCGTGGCAACCTTTGGTTTGGATCCTCCAATTACTCCAGGCTTGATGCTCCCCGTCTCATAATACCTAGGACCAAGGAGAAAGGAGCTTAGCCATGAGGAACCAGCAACATGGATTTTGACAACAAAATAATAGGCTACTCTGTCCAGGAAACATACAGATCTGCGCTGTCCAATCAAGTAGCCACTAGCCGTATGTGGCTTCTGAATATTTAAAATGTGGCTCATTTGAACTGGTACATACTGTAAACTTAACACACACCAGATTTTCAAAACTTAGTACCAAAATAATTTAAAATATCTCATTAATAATTTTTATATTGGCTATGTGTTGAGATTATATATATATAATTGAAATTCATTGTACCTGTTTTTCTTTTTTAATGTGTTATTAGAAAATTTTAAATTTCATACGTGACTCACATTATATTTCTGTTGGTCAAGATACTACACATTCATTTATTCCTTTATATTGAGCTACCATTTTACAGTTTACAGAACTCTTTCAAGTCAGTTTTCCCATTTGATCCCCACAGCAGTTCTAAAGCACGTAAATGTTTTGAATGAATGAATACATGAAGAAGTCCCCATCTACAGGTCTAAAACAGAGATCCATAGAGGTTAAACGGCTTGCTCATGGTCACACAAGACCCACTGGCCAAACCAGGATCGTGGCCCAGCCTCCTGAGCTACAATTTCCCCAGAAAGTTGGCTTGTACCTTTAATTTGCCAGCTCTCTCATCCCCTAGCACAGTGATGGCGAACCTATGACACGGTGTCAGAGGTGACACGCGAACTCATTTTTTGGGTTGATTTTTCTTTGTTAAATGGCATTTAAATATATAAAATAAATATCAAAAATATAAGTCTTTGTTTTACTATGATTGCAAATATCAAAAAATTTCTATATGTGACACGGCACCAGAGTTTAGTTAGGGTTTTTCAAAATGCTGACACGCCGAGCTCAAAAGGTTCGCCATCACTGCCCTAGCAGATTCATCTGCCTTCTGTAAAACTGTCCCCTAAAACACAACTTACTTTTCCATAAGAAAACAATCAAACAATAACCCTGGTGTAAACTTAAAGGGATTCCAGAATTCTCTGAAACTGGGAGTCAAAACCCAAGCAATCAAAAAACCAGCCCCGAGTCACGGCAGCTCTTCCCAGGACCTCCCCTGAGGTAAATCGCTGCTTCTAAGGGCATTTCCATGCTATCAGCTCTTCCTCGTTAACGCAAATAGGATGTCAGGGTTTTACAGTAAAACCGAGACCAGGCAGAAGAGTGCTGTGAAAGAGCATTTCAGAGGGAAAAACGACTTGATTCCTTTTCTGAATCCGAGCTTCGCTGGATGTCTCTCTCAGCATGTACAGAGGAATTCTTGACTTCCCCTTGCAAAGGAGATTACCTCGCAGTTGAAATTTCTTTTGAGACAGAAAGACATTTTAGAAATGATTGGTAACTTTCAAACCTAACAGCAGTTTATAATTGGTAAAGGAAAGAGGTGATCCGCTCATGGGATGGGTAGGGAAAGTTACCCAGAATAATGGCTGGTTACATTTAAAGAGAGGTTGAAATTCTCAGCCTGGGGAAGTCTGGTGAGGGCCAGGTCAGTGAATATTCTAGAAACAGATGAGATAATTTGGGAGCAGTGATGTGGAAGTGGAAATTCTATTTTTCTCTGAGGAGAGTGACTCATGTACAAATTTGGACCGTAAGGCAAAACTCAACCTGTCCTCCCTCTTTTTGTAACTGCTGAAAAATTGTTATTAGTCACAAACATGTTTTTAGAAATAGTGAAGAAAAATACGCTTTTGCCGGAAGTCTAGAGAAGTACCTAAATCAAGGCACATGGCAATTGCTGCAGCCTCCAATTATCCTTTCAATTTTACAATAGAAAATCGTGTGTTAATATCAACACAATAACTTATTATTTAGACACAATGCTCTAAGGTTTACAGTGCTCTTCCTTGAATTATCTTGATCCTCTCACCAATCCAAAGAGGCCAGTAGGGGCTTATAGAAAGGAAACCCATGATCAGAAGACTAAGTGACTTGTCAAATTTCCTTCTGGAAGTTAGGGGCAGCCCCACCTTTTAAACCTGACTTTGCATCTAGAGTTCCTCCCACTAGAGAAAACTGCTGCTTTGCTTATAAAAATTTAAATAATAGTGATAGTAATAATAATCCCTTGCAACTGCAGAAAGCTTTACTGTTTGCCAGGAATTTTAACGTGCATTTTTTTCTTTCATTCACTCAGTCACTCAATAGTTACCCTCGTGGGGCAAGGATTACAGACACACGGACAACCCTGTGCTGGGGACTCAACATATGTTAGTTAAATGGAGCTGCAATATTCAGGCAGCAACTCTGAAAAGGCGGCAGGATGAAGCTCCCCCCACCCCCAGCACTTGTCCTGTCTGCATGGCTGGGGTGGCAGAGCTCAGGCTGGCCACCCATCCCACCTGGGCAGTGCCGACCATGGGAGGCTATGCTCTGGGCATGAGAAGTCTCGGTCTTCCTTTTGACTGACACATAAGCCAGACACTTAGGAGGCAAACCTGACACTCCCGCAAACCCCAACTGGCAGCTGTGTCAAGCGAGGACTCAGACTAAATACTGCCCTTTCATCTCAGGAAAACAGTCCCCCGGGCATTCCTTTAGCTTACACGCAACAGATGAGCAGTGCCAACAGCACACAGCGTCGTTCAGTGCAAGGAACATTAGTTTGGGAGCAAAGGGGTGTAGATGCTGGTCAGCGGCTCTGACCCTAACTTGCTGGGTGACCTGGGCCAGCTCACTTAGACTCTCGGGGCCTCAGTCATCCCATGTGTATATAAGGAGAGGATGTTTGCCCTGCCTGTCTCACGGGGCTGTTGTGAAGACAGAAATGCAGAATGGTTAAGAAAAAACACTTTGCAAAACGTAACAGCACGTGCAGTGGATTAAAACCCTTTGAGTGTTTATTACTATGTAGCATACCACCAATTCCCAGTGACCTGAGCCTGAGCCTCCCAGGCAGGCTCTAGTGAAAGAAGACAACAGCCAGGCTTTCGGAGTGGATTTAAAGGGGCCTCACATGCCATCAGGCTGTGCCTCTCAAGCCCCTCTGGAGCTGGAGCTCTGTGGACTGAATGCCCACACGCCTGGCAGACCGCCACCTTCCCGAGATGACGGGGGCCTCTGCCAGCCTTGCCATGCAGCCTCCGCAAACCACGGCCACCACACAGCGCACGCTCTTTACAATCTGTCGCCCGGTGTGCGCCCATCAAATTCTTTAGTGACCAAAAAATAAATAAATAAGTCAGTGGACGGAACAGCCCTTGTTCAGAAATTCCCAGTCACACTGTTTTAGGGCTGAACTTGTTTCTTAAAAGGCAGTTCTAATTAGAGTGACATTTTGTCCACTGTGGTTCTTAGTTATGAAAATAATGAGCTATGAAATTCCAATTTATTGTTGACAACTTAAACGGCCAGGCACCGGAGCGGCGCGTAACTTCCGAGTGCCACTCTACCTAGTGACAAATCTATTCTGGGTCGAGGAAGGCTGCCAGCTGAGCCTGGGAAGGTCCCTGTCCCCTTCAGTCTCAGGGGGGAGATCTGGAGCCCTCCCGGGCACCAGAACATGAGGACCCGGCATCAAGATGTCCCCTCGCAGAAGGGCTCAGCATCTTGCCCTGAGAAGATTTCAAATAGCAAGCAAAATGTCGGCTCAGCAAAGATGTCTCAGCAAAAAAACAAAGGAAGGGCCTTCTTTCTCTCTCTCTCTCTCTCCGTGCAATGAGGAGGCTTCCCAAGAAGATAGCTAAGATCCATTCGGCACTCGGAGTCTGATGCTGAGATAATCTAAAATATTTCCGGTCTTTCTCCTATTTTTGTCTTCGTTTCTCTTTCTGTTTCTCTCTTTTAAATTAATCATTCTCTTTTCGCTTGGTTTGGGGGTTTGTTTTGTTTTTTCTCTTTCTCTTTTCTCTGATCTCCTCTCCTCTATTTTCTTCTACTCTCACTCTCATCCTCTAGTCAGGAAAACCACCTTCCAATAAGAACACAGTGGTTGACGTCCTGCCTTCCTCCTTGAACTATGCCTGGTGCTCGTTTGCTATACTGAGTGCTAAGCAGGAGTGATGCCCACAGCCTCCGCGGCTGAGGTGACCCGAGATGGGCAGGCGAATGAGGAATAAACCCAGGGATCAAGGTCCCTAAAGGGGCTTCCTTCCAGACCTCTGGCCTAAAACTTCCTCTTGGTCTCCAGCAAGGACCCCCAAGGTTAGCAACTGTCCTTCCTCTTTCATGTGAAAGAATTTTTTAAATTCCAGCAGATGGAAGTGGAAAGGGCAAGCAAAAAGTCACAATGTCACTGACATCCTTCAACATATTTATTTCCTATCCAGGCATCTGTTCTCAAACCATCATGCAAGCTGCAGGACAAAGGTTGTTCTCTGGCCCGGGGAGAGAAATCCTGTGAGAGCACTGAACAGCTATCACTGGAGACTGCTCCTCGTTGCCAGGGCAAACCTCTAACTTCACGTGGCTGGCAACAAGCCTGCGGCTTTGGTTTGGGGAAACGGTGAGTTGCCCATGATCTGGGAATCCTATGCTCTCTTCCCAGCCTGGGTACTGGCTGGCTGGCTAGATCTGGGCCAGTCACTTGGCCTCTCTCGGTTTGTTTCCTCCTCTCGAAACTGCTTCCCTGGATGGTGCTGAGTCTCGCTCACCACAGAAAATCAACACGAAGGGAGCTAAAGGCTGCACCGCCCTCTGGGAGAATCAGCATTGTTAGTATTTTGCTTGCAGCAAATCGCTGGGTCAAGTGGCAACTTTCAAATGTCAGACTTGAGAGTTGGTGTCTGTTTGGGGGTTTTTTTGTTGTTTTTTTTTCCTCCTCTAATTTAATATATACTTAGGATGCCTGTCGCTATGAAAGAAACAAAACATAGAAGAAAAATACTGCAGCCCAACATGAGGTTGATGATAGTCCACAACTGAAAATGACAGATGACTTTGTTTTTGAAAAACTGTGTTTTTGAAAAACATTAAAATGAAAAACTGAACTCTGGTCATTTTGGTGATTTTAACTTGTGGATTTTCCACCCAGCCCTGCCCAGGTCCTGAGCTCACCTAAAATGCGCAGGGGAAGTTCCCAAGAACCTCTTACTCTTGGGTCGTTTGGAATAATTTACCAGGCTTTCAGAAAACAGGCCATCCCTCCTGACTGAGTCCTCCAACCCCCATGTCACAGGGGTTTTCCAGGACTAGTTTGAACTGAGTGGCCTCGAAAGGGCTTTGCAAACTATTGAAGTGCTGTGCGTGTGTGTGAAGTGCCACAGTGATTCTCACTGTGACCCTGCCACACTGGACAGCGGCTGGGTCATGTTTTAGGTGATTATTTTAAAAATCAAGGGAAACCTGGAGCTCCTGCCTTTACCTGCCAAGGATTTTGCTGACACAACCATGGCTGACCCGAAGCTGCCTGGAGATGTCGCAGGGCCTGACACCTTGATGAGCAAGTTCCACTATCCTTTGGCGGACTACATCCGGGAGTGGCCTTCCATTCACAAAAACTCCCCCAAGCTGATTCACTCCTCCATGTCCTGAAACAGATGAGAAACAGAAAGCGAGGGAATGGGTGGTTAGAACCAGTCACATAGAAGAAGGCCTGTCGGGAACATTCAGAGTGCCTCAGATCAGAAATGGCTGCGGGCTGGACATCTTGAGCCTGGAGTCTGATCATGCAGACTACATTAATACCTCAAATTGCTTTGTAAAAATAACCTTAGCCTTTGTCAATCTTCAGCCAGTCAATTGGGCTAATGAGGGCGAGCATCTCCATACTATGCTTCCTTTAGTTACTAGTATTTTCTGTGCAATTCTTTTTTTAACAATGGAATATGTGAAGACCTCAGTCAATACTAGGGACACACCTTATTACATACATGATACTGAGGTCTAAGAAAAAGCCTCGGGAGAAAATATATTTTAAAATACATCAAATTTAAAGACATTTTAAAAAATTAAACTCTTCCTTTTAACAAATATCTTCAAAAGTGAAAGGGACTACCCCAATAAAACTAGATTTTGGGGGTGGGAATTTTTTTTTTTAAATCAACAATCTGATTAAGGGTTACGTACTTTTTAAATTTTTTAAATAGTATCTGCATGGTGCTGAGACAAAACCCAACCACTGCCTTGATAAAAACACTTCCTTTAATTACATACCCAATAAAACCGAGGGGGAAATAAGCAAACAAAAAAGATGAGGCTGATGTGCAATTGACCACTGTACCCTCGCAGAGCACACAAAAGAAATGGTTTGGAGGATCACATTTATTTCACCCTATTGCACTAGGATTTGCTATGAAGAAGTTTCCCTAAAATTTTTTGGAGTGTTTTGCAATTGACAAGCAGTTATGGGTTGGTTCAGGGGAAATAAAGACGGCTTCTCAATCCAGGTTTTACAGAGGCTCTGGGACAAATTTTAAGTAGCGTCTGGGAAAGTATCTCCCCCACCCCATTAAGCTTCCTTACATCCAGGTCCACCTGGAGGGAAACAAGGATAGAAGGAACTGAAGCGCCAACCCAGTAAACACAGGGGGTAGCAACAATATTGACCTTGTAGTTATTAATCAGCCACTGACATCACTGAAGCCAAAAGCGAAGTCCAAGCATTTACCAATGCTGTTGGCAGCTCAGAGGCCAGGAGGGGGAATAAACTAAACTGAGATTTGCCCGGGACTGGGGTATACCAGGGAAGCCAGGGCATCTTGGAGGACACACACACACACACACACACACACACACACCCCAACTCTAAAACATAAAATAGCCACCTCATCTCAGCTCTCCACCCCGTCCCCAGAACTCAAATACTATTCAGTTTCATTAGCAATATCTGAAATGGACAGGGGAAAGGAATCCATAACATAACCTATTTTTTAAAATGCCAAACCAATTCACTGAAGTTTCTCAGGAGAGTCTGAATTGAATATTTGCCCAAATTTCCAACCTCAGGCTGATTTCAAGGGAAAATTTTATAGATAACAACAGTACTTAATTCTAGTTCTAAGCTGAATTTCCCTCTGATTTTCAGAATGAACTTTAGTTGGTTTTAATTGTTCTAAAACACTCCAGACACAAGAAAAGGAAAACCATCTCAAACAGGATATTGCAGTTAGGAATATGATTGCTTAGTTCATCTAAAATCGAAAGACTGTAGCCGCCCCTGGTCAAGGGTCTTATGAAAGCTTTGTTCTGGGGTTGGGAGCATCTAATAAAAAAAAAGGTTGTATGGATCTTTCAAGAACAGGCTGGATTTAAGAAGAAAGTAAATTCAGAATTGGTACAAGCTCATCTGAAAGGACAAAAAAAGGAAGCTAAAAGCCCTCAGCACACTTTTAAGATAACCTGTCACTCCAGGCATTGTTGCCCATCTACAATAGCCTGTTCCCTATACCACTGGCAATTTAAACTTTCTGCCCAAAACACAATGCCAACCTTCAGAGCAGTTCAAGAGCAGTTCTGTAAGACATTTGTGAGTTTTGGGGACCACTTGTATCATGGACACTCTAAGTGACAGCAAGCCCTATAATCCTGACCACAAATCTAGGTTACCAATACTTATCCAGAGTCTGATCCACATGTCTACAGCTGACACCAGACCCAGGGTAACCTGGGATCCCCCTGGAAAGGACCCCAAACTAACTTAGCTCTCTCTGCCTCTGTCATAGTCCTATCCAATAAAGCAGGGGTGGGAAATGTCCAGCCCCCAGGGCTGTATAAAGCCAGAGAAATCATTTGATTTGGTCCTGCTAAAGCTTTAGGGGTGAATTAATTAAATGTTTGCCCAAATACAGCAGGCTAATTTTTAAGTTGATAATTCTGTATGGCCCGCCAATGATGTTATAAATATCCAAATGGCCCTTGGCAGAATAAAAGGTTCCCCACCCCTGCTATAGAGCATTTCAAGGGTGGTAGGGAGGTGATTTACAACTGTGATCTGAGAAGGTAATGTCTCCCACTTACCCTGAGATTAGAAAGAAATAAAACTAGATGCCTGAGAGAGGGGAGGCATGATGGGGAAAGAAAAGAGGAGAAGTGAGGTATGGAGGGAAAGGGTGTAAAGAGTGGGAACAGACAGCAAGAAACGAGAGATTGGAAAGGAAGCCTCAAGTTAGGAAGGCAGAGGAGGAGAAAATGGAATGGATTAGCCAAAACAGGTGAAGAAAAGACAGGTGAGTATGATGCACAGGGGGAAGCAAGGAGATCAGAAGAAAAAATGGAGGACAGATTCCCCAGTAAAGGGCAGAGGACTTCTGTGGAGGGGTGGGGGGCTTTGTTTTCTGGAACCCTAGGTCCAGCCCTGCATCTCCTGGTAGAACACAGGTCCAGCCTCTACCTCCTGTGGACTCTAGCTGGGTGAGAGTTCACCCCATAGAGGGTGCTGGAGGCAGACACAGACTCAGCTACCCTTTTCAGGGCCAAGTAGAGAGACTGACACAAAGATAGATGGAAACAACTCAAGGCAAAGACCAGGAAACAGACACAGATACAAGGGAAACAGCCCTGCCCCCACAGGACTGACAGAAAAGGGTTGGGGGGGGGGGGCGGGGTGCTGGGGGTAGAAGAATGGTTGAATTACAGATGCCCCTGGGGCCTTTGTGGCTCTGGTCTGGAAGGGCCAGCCCCCACAGATGCTCCTCAGGCTCAGATAAGAACATGCTGCCCACAGGGGCCCTGTCCACATCCTAGACTGGGCATAGGGTCTTAGAGAGAGGGTCTCTGCTGATTCAGTCGCAGACTTAACTCCAGGACTTAGAGACATTGAAATTTCTCTTAGTGGTCCCTGAGAGAATGAATGAAGGGACACACAAACATGCCAACAGGAACACAGGGAAGAGCGGGGATGAAATTTCATTAATGGACTATTAAATGACAGACAGATGCTGACACACACCGACAGTCAGGCCATAGATACAGAAATAGTTAAACCAGACACAGCACCTTGCACATGTGTGTACCCACCCAGACATTCCACTCTCCTCTTTCTGGAAACTAAGCCCCTCACCCTCCTCTTCTGTAAATCCTTGAAGACCCAAGAACCAGCTCCAGGTTTACCCGTGTGAACTTCCTATCAGTGCTTTTATCTCTCTGGCCTCAATATCATACTCCATAAAATGGGTGTAACTAAAGGTTTAGACAAATCTCAAGTAAAAGTGCTTTAAAACTGGTAAGCATACCTGAGGGAGGGAAACATCTGGGAAGGGTTGTGCTGATCAAAGTGATGAGCCTGGAATAGGGGGTGGGGGCAGGGGAACTCTGAAGCCCATTTCCAGGCAGTGCCTGCCCCTGCCCCATGGGCACACCATCTCTCCCACACAAAGCTGTCCTGTTCTGATGGAGGGGAGAAACAGGGTAGGAGCATGAAACTGACCAGGGCCAAGAAGGGAGATGAGGAGATGAGACTTGGTCTGAGCCCCTATTACCCCAGGGACCTCTAAGGGATCTACTGCATACCCCACTCCCCACCTCCAATCACCAACAAACTGAGGCCCTGGAGGGCACATTGTGCAAGCAGAGAGCTTTGGCCGTCAGAACCAAGCAGGCCCTGGAAGCTAGGCTGGCTGGGGCCCAGCCCCCACCGTGCTGCCAGGGAGTTGAAGATGGGAGGAGGGAGCATTCTCCAGGGGGCACATGAAGGCCAGGACAAGGAGGGACAGATATACAGCATGAGCGGTTGGCTAACAGCATCTGGAAGTAGCTGCCTTCTCCACCCTCAAGATCACCGGGGTCTGACGCTCTCTCTCCAAGGGCTTGTGCAAATTCTCTGGGGCGCCCCTCTGTGCAGAAGGAGGCAGTGAGGGTCTGTTGATCTCCCCCCATCTCCCCCGACTCCGTCCCCCGCAAGGAGAGAAGTCCAGGGGTCAGCCCTCCCCATTTTGTCCCCCAATCTCTCCTTGGCTAAGAGCTTGCTTAGCAGAGTATTGACCCCAACTCGTTTGTTTCCTGGCTCGCTCTGTGAGATCAGCGCCTCTCCGGAGCCCAGTTCAAGTGTGCGCAGGAGAGGGCTGCGGGGGGCGCTGGGGTCGCCACGGACTGGAAACTGTTTTGGCACAGGCCCGGGAGGATGAGGAATCGTTTGGGCTGGGACCGGAGAAAGCGGCTTCACTGCGCAAACCTCCGCGCGGCTCTGGTGGATTACCTCCGACTGGGGAAATTGACACAAAGAGAAACACCTGCGGGCAGTCAGCCCCTATCGTACGGATCAGCATTTCTCTGCCTGCCAGGCCGCTCTGACCTCCGGGTGGAAAAGGACCAATTCGCCCAGGGAAGCTCGCCTTCTCTCCAGCCGGGTCTCTGCTGCCTTTGTTAAACAGGGGGCCCAGGGCTGGTAAGCAGGATTTGGGGCTGTCTGCGGAGAAGCTGGCATGCGGAGGGCTCCCAGCCAGGGAGCAACCCTATGACCTGCGGCCCCGCGGGGACCCCATCTGGGCCCCGGCTGGATGCCGCCCAAGCCTGGCGCCTTGCTCCGGCCCAGCTCTGCAGCGCGCAGAGGGGAAACGCGATTCGTTCCACTTGGTATTTCCTTGAAATCTCC